CGGCGTCTAATGACCTAGTTCATCAATTGTGATTGAAGGGTTGTTAGGGACTAATGATTCGGTGGTTCGCACAGGCTTTGAGATGGTTGTTAGTGGCAGTTTCCTGGTTAAAGATTGTTGTACAAGTTTGCTTGTTGAAGGTCACCTTGGCGTGTGTCTCTTGTTTCTAAGCGTTGATATTGTTCACTTCTTAAGGCTCGTTACTGTTGTTTGCTTTGGGGTTTAATTGGTTCTTATTTATTCATACTGGCTGACGTGGTTCACTTGTTTTGTGGACGCTATGACAGTTCTCGCCTGTTAAGGGTTTGTTATACCAATTTAGTGACTCAGTCTTTAAACTTTATATTGCTTGGTTAGAGTGGGTGTTGTGAGTCACTAGATGTATCAGGGAGAAAGACACACACAGATCATTTACCAGTTTGTTGATGAGGAGAAAAAATGAAACCAGCAATTTTAGAGTAAAAACATCCGCAGTTCTCTTTGTCAATTTCCACTTCTTTCAGCTCTGAAGACTTGAACCTGAGGCAGACAGTTGCTTAAAAGAGAAGAAACTGAATATCATTTACGAGGGTGGTGGGTTGAGGGGGTTGCCCTGGTAACTGGGTGGTGGGTTGAAGGATTACCCTGGTGAGGGGGTGGTGGGTTGAGGGGGTTGCCCTGGTAACTGGGTGGTGGGTTGAAGGGTTGCCCTGGTAACTGGGTGGTGGGTTGAGGGGGTTGCCCTGGTAACTGGGTGGTGGGTTGAGGGGGTTGCCCTGGTAACTGGGTGGTGGGTTGAAGGATTACCCTGGTGAGGGGGTGGTGGGTTGAGGGGGTTGCCCTGGTAACTGGGTGGTGGGTTGAAGGGTTGCCCTGGTAACTGGGTGGTGGGTTGAGGGGGTTGCCCTGGTAACTGGGTGGTGGGTTGAGGGGGTTGCCCTGGTAACTGGGTGGTGGGTTGAGGGGGTTGCCCTGGTAACTGGGTGGTGGGTTGAGGGGGTTGCCCTGGTAACTGGGTGGTGGGTTGAAGGGTTGCCCTGGTGAGGGGGTGGTGGGTTGAGGGGGTTGCCCTGGTAAGTGGGTGGTGGGTTGAAGGATTGCCCTGGTGAGGGGGTGGTGGGTTGAAGGGTTGCCCTGGTAAGGGGGTGATGGATTGAAGGGTTGCCCTTTTAACGGGGTGGTGGGTTGAGGGGTTGCCCTTTTAAGTGGGTGATGGGTTGAAAGGGTGCAGCCCGTCAGGTCGCCCAGGCAGTGCTAAAATCATTGCCGTTCCTCAAATCTGTTGTTAAAATGTCAAATCGGAATCTGTGATACATTTCCCTGAGCCAGCTAAGTAGAGTCGCAGCGCCCACCACCAGAGGGCGCCCTCAGAGGCAGTAACATGTAGTGATGGACAGTTAAGTCAGGTACACTTCTGTAAGGAGTTTATGACTGTTAAGTAGCGATGCCATCTAGAGTTCATCGCTCTTGAGTGAGTCTGAGGCCTTGAGAGACTCCGTTGGAAGCTGCAAGAACGTTATCTCTTATTGTTATTGTAATTGTTATTGTGGGCGTTACTGCAGCGTTACGGTGAAAAGGTAGGAGTTGCGAGGGGGGTGAGGGAGGGGTTATTGGGGGGACAGATGGTGTGGGGGGAGAGGGACATTCAAGGCTAGGAGGAGGGAGGAGGCAATATGTTGTGGTGGCAGTCAAGCAGGCAGGCAGGCAGGCAGGCAGGCAGGCAGGCAGGCAGACAGGCAGGCAGGCAGACAGGCAGGCAGACAGGCAGACAGGCAGGCAGACAGACAGGCAGGCAGGCAGGCAGGCAGGCAGGCAGGCAGGCAGGCAGGCAGGCAGGCAGGCAGGCAGCCAGGCAGGCAGCCAGGCAGCCAGGCAGGCAGGCAGGCAGCCAGGCAGCCAGGCAGGCAGGCAGACAGACAGGCAGGCAGGCAGGCAGGCAGGCAGGCAGGCAGGCAGGCAGACAGGCAGGCAGGCAGGCAGACAGACAGACAGACAGACAGACAGACAGACAGACAGACAGGCAGGCAGGTAGGCAGGCAGGCAGGCAGCCAGGCAGGCAGACAGGCAGGCAGGCAGACAGACAGACAGACAGGTAGGCAGGCAAGAACGCAATCTGAGGATGGCAAGGATAAAATGAGGGAGGAGAGTGAGTTAACACAAGAGATAAGGAAGGGGGAAGACAAGATGAGGAGGAGGAGGAGGAGACTGGAGGCAGGAGAGTGCGCAGAGGAGCACAATGAGAGGACAAACATTACATAAATTAAAGAGGAAAGCTGCTTGAGGAATTGTTTAAAGAGACAGGACCACCAGCTCTGCAAGGTGTTCATATATGTCTATCTATTTATCTATTTGTGTTTATATATCATTATATTTTTCTCTTTATCTGTATATCCCTTTATGTATAAAACAAGTTAAAAAATGTATTTAAAATTAGTATTGAAGAAGAACATGATTCAGTGGCTGCTCATTTATTAAATAAAGGAACATATTTAATACAGCTTCTATTGTTTGATTGTTGCCGCCGGAGGCGGCTAGTTTATTGTGCACCCCATACTCATCCTGTGAGCGGTAGCGCAAAAAACATTACAGAGGGCACAAAAGGTCTTTATCAGACCTCATCTTAGATTATTACATAAACAATTTCATCTATCCTTCGCATCAAAAATGTCAGCTAGTTACAGAGAAAGTGCTATTTCAAGAGCTATATATTTACAGTAAGTCATTATACATTAATGGTAGGCCTTATCGCTAATACATAATAGTTTGACTAATGGGGATATTACAGTCATATTAGAGCTTCTGTTTATTATATACACTACTTGTTTCTGAATCTCATGCGGGCCTCTCTCTCTCTCTCTCTCTCTCTCTCTCTCTCTCTCTCTCTCTCTCTCTCTCTCTCTCTCTCTCTCTCTCTCTCTCTCTCTCTCTCTCTCTCTCTCTCTCTCTCTCTCTCTCTCTCTCACACACACACACACACACACACACACACACAAGAAACAGTCCGAGAGAGAGAAAGACCTGGGGGTTGATATCACGCCAGACCTGTCCCCTGAAGCTCATATCAAGAGGATAACATCAGCAGCATATGCCAGGTTGGCTAACATAAGAACGGCCTTTAGAAACTTGTGTAGGAATCTTTCAGAACATTATATACCACATATGTCAGACCAATTCTAGAGTATGCGGCTCCAGCATGGAGTCCATATCTAGTCAAGCATAAGACTAAACTGAAAAAGGTTCAAATGTTTGCCACCAGACTAGTACCCGAGCTGAGAGGTATGAGCTACGAGGAGAGACTACGGGAATTAAACCTCACTTCGTTGAAGACAGAAGAAGAGTTAGGGGGACATGATCACCACATTCAAGATTCTCAAGGGAATCTACAGGGTTGATAAAGACAGGCTATTTAACACAAGGGGCACACGCACTAGGGGACGCAGGTGGAAATTGAGTGCCTAAATGAGCCACAGAGATGAAAGAAGTTTTTTAGTGTCAGAGTGGTTGACAAATGAAATGCATTAGGAAGTGATGTGGTGGAGGCTGACTCTATACACAGTTTCAAGTGTAGATATGATAGAGGCTCAGGAATCTGTACACCAGTTGATTGACAGTTCAGAGACGGAACCAAAGAGTCAGAGCTCAACCCCCGCAAGCACAACTAGGTGAATACATAATACTTAGTATGCATGCAGCATTATCAACAAAGATAGGAGAAAGGAGCTACGAATGTTTGCGTGGTTCTGTCATCTCAGTTTACTGTGTGAATATGCTGGTGGGGATTGTGGCTCAGTAACTAGCCAGGTGTACCTGTAACCAAGCCCAGTATTACAGTTGTGGGAAACACTGGTGATAACTTAGTACTCGAAGGAGCCATAGAAGCGTCAGATTAGTGAAGAAGAATGCAACATCTCGAGGGGTGAAGTGGTGAAGGTCGACTCCGTACGCGGGTTCAGTTGTACCTGTGGCATGATGCAAGTGGACTGGGGACAACCTGTTATATCCCAGGCGGCAGAAGGTTAACAGGCTGGACTCAGAGCTCCCTGAGTACATCCTCACAGAGAACATAGACACTCAAAACAAAAGAACCTGCAGAAGGCCTCTTGGCCCATGCGAGACAGCTCCTATACATATATCCGGCTAAACTCATTCGTATATATATGTCTAACCTACGCTTGAAACAATCCAGTGATCCTACGTCTATTATGTTACCTGGTAATGTGTTCCATATCTCAACATGTCTCCTTCCAAACCAGTATTTATCTCAGGTCTTTCCTGAATTTAAACTTGTGTGCTATTCGCATCCATTGTTTCGTGTTGTATGTTGCTTTTATTAAAAATCTTTATTTCTCCCTTCTTATACTCCACTCATGGAGCATAACAATCTCACGTATAACGCTCACGCGCGCTGTATCTAGTATCTCTGTACTAGTATCTAGTATATCTGTGCTAGTATCTAGTATATCTGTGCTAGTATCTAGTATATCTGTGCTAGTATCTAGTATAACATACAGCTCATGTGAGCTTTACTGACGAGGCAGAAATATTGGTAATAATTATCATTATTAATTATATCATTAAAGTTTTACTAATTAGTGTTATTACTGCTTTGTCAGTTGACAAACTGTGTTTTAACCGCATACAATGATAAGTGTATTTTGTATAATTATATGTGTATAAAAAAGTGTGTGTGTGTGTGTGTGTGTGTGTGTGTGTGTGTGTGTGTGTGTGTGTGTGTGTGTGTGTGTGTGTGTGTGTGTGTGTGTGTGTGTGTGTGTGTGTGTGTGTGTAAATAAAATATATGATGCAAATGTTATTTGAGTTACGTCACAACAATGTAACGTAAGCAATCTTAATGCCATCTAAATATGCCGTCAACTATCACTGACTTGTGTATTTTTTAAATCTATTTCATATATAATTTGTGATAAACGAGGTCCATATAACCATACTGACTTTCTTCTCTCTGTAAACGCTTGAAGCAAGACTTGTGGTAATGAGGTGTTTGGTGTGTGTGTCGACAGAGTGTCGTTTGGGTCGAGCAAGGGGTCGATGGTGGAGACTCTGATCTACGACTCCCCGGTGGCCGAGGAGGAGAGAATACCTGAGGAGGACGACCCCCCCTTCAGAGATCCTGTCTCCCAGAAGTTTGGGTGAGTTATTAAACCATCTCGTTGTCTTGTGTTGTGAGACTTGTACCTCCAGCCTGTGTTTGGGTTTCAAGCACGGGCTGAAAATGTGTATGTATGTATGTATCTTTGTATATATATATATATATATATATATATATATATATATATATATATATATATATATATATATATATATATCTTGAGGTTATCTTGATGATTTCGGGGCTTTAGTGTCCCCGCGGCCCGGTCCTCGACCAGGCCTCCACCCCCAGGAAGCAGCCCGTGACAGCTGACTAACACCCAGGTACCTATTTACTGCTAGGTAACAGGGGCATAGGGTGAAAGAAACTCTGCCCATTGTTTCTCGCCGGCGCCTGGGATCGAACCCAGGACCACAGGATCACAAGTCCAGCGTGCTGTCCGCTCGGCCGACCGGCTCCGGGTCATATATATATATATATATATATATATATATATATATATATATCCGGGTCACATATATATATATATATATATATATATATATATATATATATATATATATATATATGTGTGTGTGTGTGTGTATTTGGTATATTAGAAAATGTGTGTCTAAACCCTGAGAGCGACATTGGCGTAGAGGCGTCATTTAAGAGAGTAATGAAGAAGGCTGAAGTCACGGTCAAGGGTCTCACACTACGAACTGGGAGACCATTTAGTTTTGAAAACCAAATGACATACTTGGTAGGCCTACAAAATTATCTATTTAGTTGGCCTTGGTCCCCCCCCCCTCTTCGTCCTTCCAGTTATCTTGGCCCCCTTCCCTTCCACCCTTACCCCCATCCCCCCTCCCTCTCTCTCCCTCTTCCCCAAGAAAATTTCAACCCGTTCTCGCACTTTCGTATAGTCAATATTGACTTATTAAATACGTGCATATGTGACATACTAATTTATTGTGAATATTTTAGTTTACCTTGAAAAGCTTCATAGAAAACACCGACCTTACCTAACCTTCTTAGTATGTTAAGATAAGCATCTTATTGCTTCGTAATTACAATTATTACTTAACCTAACCTATAATAGGTTAAGTAATAATTGTAATTACGAAGCAATAAGATGCTTATCTTAACATACTAAGAAGGTTAGGTAAGGTCGGTGTTTTCTATGAAGCTTTTCAAGGTAAACTAAAATATTCACAATAAATTAGTATGTCACATATGCACGTATTTAATAAGTCAATATTGACTATACGAAAGTGCGAGAACGGGTTGGAAAATTTATTATTAATAAATAATGATTTAATAAATAAATATTAAGAAATATATAAACCCATAAAAACAGCTTTATGGATCTCTCAGAAAATATATTATTAGGGTCACTAAAATCTCTATGGGAATCACACCAAATAGTTCACTCTCAACTCCATGAAAAATTGGATGAGGGTTCTCTGTAAATGGTAACATTTCTTAAATCATTTAACATAGGCCTACCCTGAGCAGCCAGTGTCCGTCCCGCCCTTCAGACCATTCTTTCTGCAAAATTGGGTGGAGGCCCCAAACATCTGGCCTCCAACATTGGGCAAACATGTATTCTCCCTTAGAGACATTCTCTCTTGTAATACAGATACTATGTCTGACAGTCTGTGTCCAAGGTTGGAGGCCAGACGCTGGGGGGGGGGGGCGTAGCCTCACCCAACTTTACTGAGGAAAGGGAAGGGAGGGAATTATCAGGGGAAAGAACCAAGCCATTGCAACTATATAGCACTTGGAAAGGGTCAGGATAAGGATTTGGGATGAGACGGAGGGAAGGAATGGTGCCCAACCACTTGGACAATCGGGGATTGAACGCCGACCTGCATGAAGCGAGACCGTCGCTCTACCGTTCACTCCAAGTGGAAAATGGTCTGAGGTACGGGACGGACACTGGCTGGTCAGGGTAGGCCTACGTTAAATGCTTTAAAAAATATTACCATTTACAGAGAGCCCCATCTAATTTTCATGGAGTCAGGTGTGAAATATTTGGTGTGAGTCCCATAGAGTTTTTAGCGCTCGTAATAATATACTTTCTAAGAAACCTATACAGTAGTTTTGGTGCTTTCTAATAAAAATTCTGAGCGAGGGCGTGAGAGAGGAAGATCAGGGTGGACGAAGGGTGAACCAGGAGGATGGGGATGGGTAGGCCGAGGGAGAGATGGGGTCAAGAGTGGGGAAAGGGGGTTGGAAAGAGAGGGAAGAGACCCGGGTGCAGCCGGGTACCCCCTTCTATATATATAAATGACAATGTCTGTTCGAGGTTGAAGGGAAGAGGGAGAGAGGGGAAAGAGGGGAGGGCAGGGGCAGGAAGGAGGGAAGACGAGGGATGCGAGAAGGGAAAAAAAGAGGGGAAGAGTTAGGAATGGGAGGGGGGGGGGGGGGAAGAGACACAGTACCCGGGCACCGCCGGGTACCCCCTCTTAGTATGGATATAGATACAACATTTTCATAATTGTGTACTTGCAATATGGCATCATTAATTAAAAGTATTAATTAGTCTCAGGCGTAAA